CCTCCGCTTCAATAACCTAGAGCAGTGGTTCCCAACCCTGGTCCTGGAGGCACCCCAACACTGCACATTTTGGATGTCTCCTTTCTCTGACACACCAGTTTCAGGTCTTGGAGTCTCTACTAATGAGCTGATGACCTGAATCAGGTATGTTTGATTAAGGAGGCATGCAAAACGTGCAGTGTTGGGGTGCCTCCAGGACCAGGGTTGGGAACCACTGGCCTAGAAAGTAGAAAATGGACCATTGACACACCTAATTGAGATTGTAGATAGAGTGTCAGTGGTCCATTTGAGAGATAGGTGGCGGTAATGCACTTATAAGTCTGCGATCCGCAGTAAAGCAAGAAGAAGAAGACGCTCTCACTTCGACTGTCGAGGACGTGCTCAGGACAGTTCAGACAGTTCATACATTGCGGTGAATCAGAGGTAAAAAACAATATAAATACTGTTCAGTTTCTTGCACAGACCGATCGTTTCGACGAGCCGCAGGGGTTAATTTGGTTTTGTTTGTGTATGTTTTTTTTTTTTACTCTCAAAGCCGTGATTCCCATTCACTTCCATTATAAGACTGACAGACTGCAACGGTTTGAGTTAAAATTCTTCGTTTGTGTTCTACTGAAGAAACAAAGTCACCTACATCTTGGATCATTTTTGGGTGAACTATCCCTTTAAGCTGGGTCCTTACCTGTTGGATGTATTCGTATTCAGTCCTATTCACGAACGAATCATTCAGACCTGTTTTGTGAACCTCTTCAACTGATTTGTTCATGAATCTAACATTGCTAATTGTACATACACTACCGGTCAAAAATATTAAGCAGCACAACTGTTTTCAGCATTGATGATAATAAATATGTTTCTTGTGCTGCAAATCAGCAAATTACCATATTTCTGAATGATCACGTGACACTGAAAATTGGCGTAATGGCTGGTGAAAATGTAGCTTTGCTATCACAATGATATAATAGATTTTTAAAATATATTAAAATAGAAAACTGTTATTGTAAATTGTAATAATATTTAATTGTCTTGGTGAGCATAAGAGACCTCTTTAAAAAACATTCAAAAATCTTAACGACCCCAAACTTAGGAACGATAGTTTGCATTATATAATTGTATACAGTAATGAAAATCAACACTAGTTTTTTAAATTAAATTTTGATTTTGTGATATTCAACAACTGTGATTAAACCTTTGTAAAACCAAACTGGGATTTGATTGGCTAACCTCAGACTCCCATCAATTGCCATTTTGAAGTGACGTTTTCGAGCATGGGTATTTAGTGCAAAACAATCATTTCAAAAGCACTAGCATCATGTTTCCTCTGATCTATAGTCTGTTACTCCCAGATCCTATTGAGAGACCTTTCATTTCAGCCACTCAGGAATTCATGAGAACAATTCTTGTTTGCTACACAAAATAATCCGTATCAGCTGCTTTCTGTTTCTCTTTCTCTTGGTTTCATCTGTCCTGTATTTTCACATCATTAAATGTGTTGCTGTTAGTCCTTGGTAGGCTAGCATATCAAAATTAATATTGGTAAATAACACGTAAACAGTGATACTGTACTGTGAATGTAAATCTGCTGGGTAGACGTTCCTCCACATTGCCCTCCTTATAGCAATCATGCTGAGATGAGTTATCACAACAGGTGGATATATATTTTGGCAGGATTGCTCATACAGAGAGCCTGTGTCTCTTCCTCATTTCACTTTGCTAATGCAGAGTCTGATCTCTCTTCCAGACTGAATTGCCCCATAATGTCCATTAACAGCCCAGCCCCAGTTTTGACCAATGTATATGTTGGTTGTTGTAGGAGGACTCAATGCAAATTACTATTATTATTGCCCATATGCCCATTCACACTGACAGCAGTTTTGTTTGATTGGAGCCCACCAGGTCACTGTACCTTTTGCTAGGTTTACGTTCCTACGTTCCTCTTCCTGGAATGCAGAAATCCATTGCCGGTGTCCAGAAAGATTCTATTCCCCCACAGAATCCTATCCTTATTCCACCCCAAAACTATAAATTGCTGCTGGGATGACGTGTTTTTGTTGGCCAAAATCCAGAAACAAGTTAGCAATTTAGCTTCTATAGTCCTGAACTCAATGGGTTTTTTTAAATGGGTTTTTGGGTAAATGCCTGAAATAAGGTCTCTGGTTAACACAAACCCAGGATATTTTTGTGTTTTATTCTACAACATAAAATACATCAGTAATAATCGTAGACTCGGAGACTTTTGAAAACGATGGTGTGGCAGCCCACGTTCGTTCTGCCTATCCTTGTGTAAACAATAACATCATGCACATTGTTGTTATGGTTGTACCTGTTATGAATGGTCATGTGACATACGTTTTCGATTGTGTAGTGTGGATGGAAAACATTTCTGAAATGCAGTGAAAACGCAAGTGTAGACGAGCATCTTTTTCATTTTAAAACGCCATTTAAAACGAAAACGCACTAGTGTAAACATAGCCTTAATGTTGGAACATCGGAGTCATGCGACTGTGGTGTAGTTTGTTTATATACTATGTTTAGCTTTTTTATGTCTGATGATTGCATTTAGGCTGTAAAATTCATAAAAGTTGTGTTCAGTTGTGGAGATATATACAACTTTTAAAATCTGAAAAGAGCTGACCGTGATACGCTACGCAACTTTCTATGAAACCTGTCAACGCAGACTGGCTCTGACTTTCGACAACTAGCGTCAACTTGTCCAGACTGTAAATCAGGGCAAAAATGTGGGCAAAAGTTGTGTAGTGCATTCCAGAGTTGTGTATTTGTGTAGTGTATTTAAGAATCATAAACATTTACTCACAGAGCTTATTTTCTGCAATAATCTAAAAGCCAATGGAAAAATACTGTTGGGTTTTGGTGGAAGGAATTTCCGGTTTGACCTACAAAAATACGTCTTCACTGTAGCACTCTATTCGATTGGCTAAGACAGTGGGTTTTATGGGTGTTCAGTTTGGTGTCTGATTAGTATTAATTGGTGATCATGAAAATATGCTAATTAATGTCTTTTAAGTGTCATCTATTACCAGAGTTATATTATATTATATACATTACATGCATGTGGACTGAATATATATTAATATTCAGTCCACATGCATGAAGTGTAAAACGAGAAGGGCATAACCTTACGAAAAAAGAAAACACGCAAAAATCGCGGTTGCTGCGGTTCTTGCATTCCTCTGCGGTTTGCTCGTCAGTAGCGTGGTATTGCGATATTGCGGTTATCGCAACAGCCCTAGCCAATAGCTTCTTGGGCAGCATGTCGACATATAGCAGCATTGCACTTCGGTTGTCCCAAGTTCGAGTCCCGGCTCGTTGACCTTTCCCGATCCCATCCCCTCTCTCTCTCTCTCTCTCTCTCTCTCTCTATCTCTCTCTCTCTCGCTCTCTCTCCCACTTCGTTTCCTGTCTAGATACTGTCCTATCATAATGAAGGCCAAAAATAAATCTTAAAAAAAGCATGTTTGTATGAATGTGAATATAAAAGTTTCCCATTTGCGACATTGTGGTGGCATTTATATGCATTAAGCTTGTAAATTAAATATTTTTGACCTGAAACGCATCATATGAATCCGGGCATACTACTTAATTAACATACTGTTTATTAGGGAAGTAGGCATTTTCAGATGTAGGGACAGTTTTATTTTTGCTAAAAATGTGCGATACGAAGAGAAAGCTTTTGTATTTAAATTACAGCGGTTTGTAATCTAATTTAAGTAAGTAAGTAATCTCATATCATGAACAAGATTTATCAGTGCTTGATTCGAACTCTATCTCACAGATGTCAGCACATGAGCTTTATTGACTTTACTCCATTTCGTACTGTTCGTTCCAATGAGTCTGTTCATTTGCATGAAGTTAAATTTAAAAGTTAAAGTCCCACATCCTGTTGTCAGTGGTTACTGTCGCTCATGTCGTCGGAAACTGGGAGCTCTCATTGAAAATGACTACAGGTCACTTGTCGCTGTACATTGCTTTCATTGTGAACTCCCCTTTTGGGCTAGCCAAAAGCATAATACTTCAAATTGTGTGGCTTGTTGAGGAGACTTGGCCAGTAAGTAACTACCTTAGCAACTCCTTAGAAACCACCCAGAACACCCTAGAAACCTCTTAGCAATGTACGGAAAACCAACCAGAACGCCCTAAAAACCAGTCAAAGATTTGCACCACTCACATTTTCTTTGGAAAGTTTAAAAATCTAGTTATGGTTTGTCGGCTATCAGTAAGTAAACAGTAGAATAGTGGCGCGGTGAAGGGAAATGTTTTTCAGTGTGTTTTTTTTCTCACTCTGGTTCTGTGGGCTGTATGCAAACCCTGCCGCGCACAAAGCCAAAGGGTGATAAGACGCTTATTTGACTTGCTTGGTGCACCAGGAGGAAATGATGTCATCAAGCACAAGAGAGACCGGATTGTTTTGCTCAGCGCTGAAGCTTGCCAGCACAAGCCTCACATGCTCCGACATATTTCTGTTGATTTGTTACGCAGAGAGTGTCCAGCGTTTCGGGTCTCGCTGCCTATGGCTGTCTGTCTGTCGAGGGGAAAGGGTTCCGCCGATGTTGTTTTAAAAATAGCCCTATGTTCGATGCTCTTGCACTAATGCCGCCCAACAATCTGACACGATTTAGGGCTCACTTCTCTTCCTCCATGGATCCCAGGCAACCTCCCTAGCTTTTTTGACCATAGCTGGACCTTTTTAGGAAAACCACAGTGTTTCTGCAGATGTGAAAAAGCATTGATGTCTATGAGACAAACCTGTCTGTGGCTGTTCTAATGTCAGCACACAGTTGTTTTTGACAGCTGTTTCCTCTCAGTTTTTCATAGTCTGTGCCAGTTAGCAGCTTGTAAGTGACATTTTGTTTATAGACTTGCTTTACCAGACTGCGCAGGCCGAGTGTCCTGTTTTGTACACTGATGTTTTTGCAGATAGTTTGTGCTATTATAACTCTTGTGCTAACTAACTGCTCTCCTGTTCTGTTTTCTTTCCACAGACAACAGTCAAGTGAGGAGGACAACTCAGCCATACTTAAATGTGCTGCTAAAGCCTCCATATTTAAAACAAGAACTTTGTTTTTTATGCTGTTTTTTATGATATAAAATCAAATTTCCTCCAGAGATTGACGAAAAGATAGGGCGACTGAGACGGGGGAGGTGGCAGAAAAGTTTCCATCAAGGAACTGAAGATCTGCAATGCCTCTGGTATGGGCCCTGTCGTTCAAATTTGGATGCCAGGTTGAGGTATTTTGAAATAGATGTCATGGTATGCTTCTCTTGCTTTCATCTTACAGCCCAGCATTAGCGGAATGGATACTCCCTTTGGGGATGCCTTTCAAAACTGCTCTTTTACTGACCAGGTGCTGACCAGCACAGACCTGTTGGCTAACAGTTCTGACCCAGATTTCATGTATGAACTGGTAAGTTCATACACACAGTGTTACTGTTCCATTTTTATTCATACCTAGAGGATTTTCACACTACAGAACTTACACGCATGGAAAAACAAGATATCGTGGCATTGTGCTAATTTGTTCCTTTGTTTTAGTTAAATCGTAGTTCATTTTCACTAAATTAAAATGAGAGAATGAAATGGTGACCGCACTCTATCTAAAATGCGGGAATGACTATAAAATGTGGCCATGAATTAATAAGTAAAAAAATTTTGTAAATCATGTTCATTGATTTACTAAAATTGTATTTTTATTAAATATTTTTACTCACAATTTCTGCCCGATTAAATATTTTAAGCTTAGCATAACTAGAAAAATGTATATTTATCAAAGTGCCTATAGTGTTTTAAAATGTTATTAATTTGCATGAGTTTTCCAGGTCTAGAAATCACACAAGTCATCTTGGGGCCCACTTGGAAGTTTGCTATAGGCCCCAAGTGCTGTGCATTTGATTAAATTTAATTAAATACATTTTTCAGCACATAATGGTTACACATTTTGTCTTGTATAGAGTGACAAATTGACAGTATTATTTTTGCATAGTGTTCCAGAAGATAGCTAGAAATAGTTGTGGCAACATTTCCACAAATGGACAAGCAGTCATTAAACCAGGCTGCATATTGGACTTGTCCAATAAAAGATACTAACCTCGTAAATATGCAGATAAAAACATTAACACAGTGCTCAAATGAGAAATCCTGAAACCTAACAGCCCTAAATTAATTACAACCCAAGGTAAAGTCTAGACAGTGTAAAACATGGAACAAGATTACCCAGGGTTATGTTAATGACACTGGGTTATTAATTTCAAGTGTGAAAACCCCACCAGTTTCTTTAGTCTGCCGTACAAAGTTGAGTTACATTTTTGAACGTTTGCAGGATCGGGACATGACTTGTCGCCAGAGCCCTAGAGGAAATATTTTCACAGTCGGAGACTGCAAAGACTTGGACAGCATGGATCATCTACCTGAACTGGTAGATAACGACCCTGCTTACAGTTCAAACTTTGAGCAGTGGGACACGTACTGGGAGGACTTGACTAAGTACACTCGCCTCACCAGTTGTGATATCTGGGGCACCAAGGAAGTAGATTTCTTGGGCCTTGATGACTTTTCCAGCCCTTACCAGGATGAGGAGGTGATAGGACAGACACCGACCCTGGCCCAGCTCAACAGCGAGGACTCGCAGCCAGTTTGTGACACTCTTTACCATCCGGACTTGCTGGTGGGTCAAAAGCAGCTTTTGTTTCCACCTCCCACCATGGCCAAGAAGACTAACAAACTCAGCCACTCTGCAACCAGCTCCTCATCGAGTCACAACCCTCTGCCGGACTTTGCCGAGGGATCCCAGAAAGCTACCTGGCCTGTTCCCTCCAGCACTGACATAATGGCCAAGGGCCAGTTTCAGGGCCCTAGCAAAGCCTCGACTGCACCTCTGGACAACATGGATTACGTTCGCAAAGCCAAGGTACGCATCAGCGTACCACGCAAGCCTTTAGTAGAGAGCTCCGCCCAGATTCGTGTTTCTGCCTCTCCTCTTATCCAGGAGCACGAGTCGTCAGCTTCGCAGGTCAGCGAGGACCCAGCCGTCGACGCTTCTAACACGGCCTCTTCCATTAGCTGTGAAAAGAGAGTGGAGACTCCTAAACGAGAGGTACCGACTGGTCCTGGTCCAGAAATAGGGACCCTGAGGACGGTGCCACACAAAGTCCCCTTCTCTGCAGCTGCCGGCAGTGAAACCTTGCTCACCGTGAGTGCCCTTGGATCCGACGCTTCTGCCGCTGACAAAAAGAAGGAGGAAGAGCACAACTATTCGTTATTCTTGACCAGGGCCAGGCTGGCAAGGACGGCAACTGCTAACATGGAAGAAGAGGAGGAGGAAGAAGGTGAAGAAGAGGAAGAAGAGGAGGAGGAGGCAGAGGGATTGGATCTAGACGATGAAGACCATGATGAAGGGTTTGGCAGTGAACATGAGCTCTCAGAGAATGAAGAGGAAGAGGAGGAGGAAGATGAGGACTATGAGGGCGACAAAGACGACTACATTAGTGACGCATTCTCAGAGCCAGGTGCGAAATGACATCTTTTTCTTGATGCTGTTGTAGACAAATGCATAAAAACTAGGGATGCTATGATAATGATACTGGTATCAATACATGCTGTTCTGTACATTCGAAACATAAAGCATCAGACTTTTGGAGGTACAAAATTCAGTGCCACCAAGTGAGTGCACAGTACATTTAGTACAAATAGGCCTATAACTGAGTGAACAGAAAGAGAGAGTATATAGAGTTAATTATCCTAGAATGTCATTGCTCTTAATTAGCATTGGGAAATCCAGTTCATTCTAGGAGTTAGCTACTTGGAAAGTGCATTGTAGGTTGTGTGCAGATAACCAAAGGGAAGTGAAACTAACAGATGATCTTACCCAATACTTTGTTATACATAAAAATGACATAAATTACAGTAAATTGTTGTGATGCCACCCAAAAGCAAATGCATACAGGTTCTTAAATGCGTGAATTTTTTTTTTATTTTCTTGTATTTTATTTATTTATTTGTTTGTTTGTTTGAGTGGTGTTATGGAGCTAAAAATGTACAAATTTTGTAATTGTGTGTGTGTTTGTTTGTGTCTGTGTGTACTTGAAGGTTTAGTCAACCCAAAAATGAAAATTCTGTCATCATTTACTCACACTCAATGGTCCAAACTTGAATGAGTTTCTTTCTTCTGTTGAACATAAAATATATATATTTTGAAGAATGTGGGTAACCAAACAGGTCCTGGTTGTCAGTGACTTCCATTGTATTGGGAAAAAAATTCTATGAAAAGTCAATGGGGACCAGAAACTGTTTGGTTACCTAGAAATTAAAATTGTCATCAATTGTTCACCCTCATGTTGTTCCAAAACCACAAGACTCAATGTGTTTCTTTAAGATATTTTAAAATTTATTTCCCTCCGTTAAAAGTCCAGTCCATTACATTTTTTTTTTTTGTACATTTTAAAGAGACATCGCAAAAGTAATCCATACGAATTGTGTGGTTTAATCCAAATCTTTTAAAGATACAGGATCACTTTATATGATGAACAGATTTAATTTAGCCTTTTATTCACATATAAACATTGATCAACTCTCATACATAGAGCACATCAAATATGGTAAAAAGAATTTTAGCTTAAATGAAGCCTGAAATGGAAAAGAAAAAAGCTTTCCCAGGTTGGTCTAAAGGACACGGAAGTGTTGCAAAAGATTGGTTTGTAAACATTGTAATATTATCCATTGCGGTATGCTTCTATAGTCTCCTGTATTTGCTGTTAAAGTTCATATTTGATGAAAATAATAATCATCAGTCTCACTGGACTGTACTGGTAAATACTGGTATACGTAACAGCAAATACCAAAACAGAAGTATCAGTACTTGTATTTGGTATTGTGTGCATCCCTAGTGAAAACTTGTGTGCGCTGCCCTAATTTGAAACTATGAAGCTACTAATATCTTGAACGAGCCCTTGTGACTTGTTATGGTTGAATTGAGAATTATGATTGTACATTTACAAGATTATAATGGTTTAGTGATTCTGTAAATGCAGGATAGGAAAAGATCATTGTTCGTTTCTTTCTTTGCCTCATTACCATCCTATCTTTCAAACAGGATGTGACACTGATATGGCTGATGATGTCAAAGGCCTGACGGCTGGAATTTCCAGGAAGAGGGGAAAGCGTCGATACTTTTGGGAGTATAGCGAGCAGCTCATCCCATCCAAACAGGTGCGCATGCTGAAACCTTCCGAATGGGACAGAGACACACTTCCCAGCAACATGTTCCAAAAGAATGGCCTGCACCATGGTGAGAAATTCACTGTCCATCATATGAAATCTATGAACAAAGAAGGACCTGTTCAGCTTATGTTTCAGATTATAATTACAACAGATCACAGTATTTAAAGCTTTTATGAAAATTCCCTTTAAGCCTGATATATTTAACGTTAATGTTTGTCTGAATTGTTTAGGAAAATACACACTGAAGAAGTCGCGGCGGACGGATGTGGAAGATCTTACTCCAAACCCTCGGAAGCTGCTTCAGATCGGCAATGAACTCCGGAAACTCAATAAAGTCATTAGTGACCTGACTCCGGTTAGTGAGTTACCCCTAACCGCTCGGCCTCGGTCTCGAAAGGAGAAGAACAAGCTTGCATCCAGGTAAAGCCGTATCCACGTACTCCTTGAACTACTACTTCTTTTATTTCTTAAAGCTCACGTCCCAATGTTTTCCCTTAAACTGAAAATCCTATAAAGCAATACCACTCTAGATAGACTGGGTGAACTACATTGTGTGCTGTTTAAAATGATTAAAAAGCTGAAATACAGCACACCAAAATGACTTTTTTAGTGAAACACTCTTCTTGATTCTTCTCTCTGTGTGTGTGTTTTTTTTTCTTCCCTAGGGCCTGCAGGCTGAAAAAGAAAGCTCAGTATGAAGCCAACAAAGTCAAGTTATGGGGCCTTGGAACTGAATATGGTACATTGTTTAGACATGGAAATTAAATATTAAAGGAAGTGCTTGATATTGTTTATTGTAGAGTGTAGATTGAGTGTAACCACTTTGCTTACCTTTGAAACAAGACTAGTTTTTAGATCAGTTAAGTTTTTGTGCATACTTATAACCGAGCAAATTTGCCAATGAGACAAATATATGATTGTCTTCTTTTTCAGATTGTTTGCTGTTTGTGATCAATGCAATCAAAGAAGAGATAGTCAGCAGAGTTCAGGATATCTCACATGACAAAGGAACAAGCATGACCGAGAAGCTGGATAAACTCATTGAGGATACCTTAGGTAAGAAAATGTGCTACATTGCATTATTATTAACACTTGTAAAACATTGCAAATGCAAATTATGTGTGATCTTGTACAAGCTGTCTTCAAGTTTCTCCTCAAACACACCACTAACAACTCGATACATCTTACAAGCTGAGTTGCAAGAAATCTGCATGCCTTACAAGCATGATCAAGCTGCATCTTCTCCAGCAGCTGCTATCCTTGTGTCTTCAAGAATTTTAAGAGCCTTCACATTGCTTCGCGCCATGCTGTGACCTCTGTTGTATCTAAACTGTTTTCTGAAGAAATTTTTGTTAGCACATCAGAATCAGCACATCACCTCATGACATGACCTCATCCTTCTGTTATATAAGTTCCAAAAACAGCTTTAAAAGAACACAAGATGAATATTTTTTTAATATTTCTTCAACATGTTGGAAGCTCATGATCTCAGCATAGACTGGGAAGTAAACAGCCTGGAACTAACAACAAAACTCTATTAAAACGTATCCTTTAAAGGTGACCTATCATGAAAATCGGACTTTTCCAGGTTTTAAGTGTTATAATCAGGTCCCCGGGGTTTTGGTAAGCCTTTTTCTGCAAGCGTCTGAAAAAACGAGCACATCTGATTTCGCTCCCTTGGTGACGTGGCAAAGGGATCTCACTATAATATTACCGCCCCTTAATCTGCACGTTTCCACTAGTGATGGGAAGTCCGGTTCTTTTCCGCGAACCGGTTCTTTCGGACAGTTCGTTTCAATGAACCGGTTCAAAAAAGTACTCACATGCTGTCTGGTGGCCGCTTTCTGTCCGTTTGCTTCGGTTGTGTGCGCACAGAAAACCATATATCAGAAGTTTAAACTAATATGGTTTAAAACGCATGATTTCAGAGCGATAAACATGATAATCAGAACCAAAACAGATGTTTTTTTTAGCAGGTCCGAGCTCTAATAGCACAGCTCTATTCTGGAAAAGAGGGCGGGGAGCAGCAGCTCATTTGCATTTAAAGAGACAGGCCCGAAAAACAGCATGTTTCTGCTTCCACTCAAAATAGGCATTTTCAAAATGATTTAATAAATGACCTGTGGAGTATTTTGAGCTGAAACTTCACAGATGCATTCTATGGACACCAGAGACTTATATTACATTTTGTAAAAAGGGGCATAATATGTCTCCTTTAAGATCAAGGTTTGGCTACTTTGCTACTCTATTTAGAGTTCCTGGTCTGAAAACGTATGCACATGACTATTGTGGCAACATTTTTGCACTTTAATTGACATTCCCACCTAACAGTTTTATTATATTACTTATATAGTTTCATTAATAACTTCTCTTTTGTTCATACAGTGCAGCCACCAGTGGCCGGCCAGACTTCAGACTTTGTGAATCAGATCCTGGAGAACACTGGGAAAGGAGATCCCACCGGAGGGCTGGTGGGATTGCGTGTGCCCACATCGAAGGTGTAGAGTCACGCCGAAAGACACCTCGGAGCACACACGAAGCCATCCGCGCCATTCTTGTCCCACACTGTAACGGCCCAACACTCTGCATGCCCATTTTCACTTGGAGACACATCCTCACATTTAAAGTGAATACATGCATACGATACTACTTGTCCGTGCATACGTATGTATATATTCACCTCATGTGCACCAGTGGAAATGAAACTAGTAGTTAACCTTTGCACTCAATAGTCTGTTTCCTACCATGTGTGCATGTGGCTGGTATCGATCAACAGGCCGCCATGTTGCAAATATTAAAAGCCAATATACGAGATACCTCCAACAAATGAGAAAAAGAGAGAGGAAAAAAGCTAAACAATGAGCACCAGTTCTTGCTGTAGCCATTTTCCTCTTGCGTCCAGCTAAATCTGTCAAATGCCCATTAAGAGTTTTGGAAAGCAGAGGCGCACTCTGCAGAGAAACTACGAAGGCATTAGATCCTTTGATTTAGCGGTCAAAAAGGTGTAAATGCAGACTTTCTGAGTTTTTGAACACGGCATGTACGATTTCACCCGAGTTAGGCCTACTTTATGCACTTATTAATCTCTCAGCTGAGGGTGAGAGAGTAAGTGTCCAGGGGGGATTCCTGTTCCAAGCATTTTTTTGAGGATCAATTGAGATACACCAACTACAAAAAGGCAAACACGAAAGAACACAAATACCGATGTATAGCGCAAAGTTACTGATGTTCGGTGTATATATGTAGAACAGGGATGTTTCAGGAGAGTAGCAGGTGAGGAAACAGGCCTCAGATGCCCTTTTCCACAGATTTGCGATCGTCTCAGGTTGGAAAGAGAGCGAGAGAGTGTGTTTTTTTTTTTTTTTTATTCTTTTCTTGACTTGAGCAGATGGTCAGTTGAATTCCTTATTGTAAATAGGCTGATTGATCGATTATTATCCACTGGTGAAATCTTTTCCTTTCTACACTTTGGTTGAAGTGCCCTCACGTCAAATCACCTTTGATGTTGTTTTGCAAATTCTCAAAAGGGGCTTTAAAAAAAAGCTGATTCCCAGATTGGGTTTTGTTTATATTTGTACTTTATACAAGTAAGATTCATTGTGCCTTGTAATTGCGGAGTTGAGGAAAAATAAAACTCAATAGAGAGCGCAAATGGACCATTTTGCAGAAAGCAAGGGGAGTCAGTGGGGGGTGGGGAGGTTTGTAATGTATTTCAGCTCTTTAAAGATACTCTGAATGTACATAGGAACATGGAAAATATAGATATATGCCACAGAGTCTGTGCATTGTATTTTAAGATGGCTCTGGCAAATGTACTTTTTTTGGTACTTCATTTAAGAGGGGATGGGGGGTGGGCGGTGTTGTTATATATGAGAAATATTCACATATAAAAAACAAAAAATGATATTTGCACACTATATTTTGATTGTTTTGTTTTTTGTACCAAAGACACATGCAACTGAAAATGGCAACTAGCCAGTCTAAGTAAGGTTTTTGCACAGCTTACCTGACACCGTATTGAATGTAGGAAAAATGGTAGGGTCAGGGATTCTACTGAACTGTGAAATTTGCTTGGGTCCAATTCTCTGCAGAAAGAAGCATTCATTTGCATCCTCATCCAGTTTTGTACTGTTCTTTTTGTTCTCATATATATTTCTTTGACACATTTGTACCGCCATTCGGATTCCCTCCACCGAAGTTTTGTTGCATATTTTAAAGATGAGCTATAAAGTTAATGGAGATGCTTCTATTTTCACATATATTATCACAAAACCAAAAGGTTTACTATTCTTCCTATAGTTGTAGAGGAGTGTGCATATACAAAAAATGATACATGTTTATAGTTTGGATACGCGTTAATCCGTGCACACATTAACCTTCTGAAATGATATGTTACTCGGCATGAAACATTTCTATTTTTGTCTTCTTACTCTGAGTATTGTTGAAAGAAAAATGGAAAAATTTAATTGCGTATATTTTTGTAGAGATCGCCTTTAAACTTTCCTTTCTGCACTACCCACAGATCCTTCTCGGAAAAAAATTCGGGAATGTTTTCGAAAGCACTTATCTTGCTAAGGGAAATCAGATGAAATCCCAAATTCTCATTACTGTAATTCAAAAAATTCGAAATAGCATAAAAATAAAAATTGTACTTTACAATTACGTGCAGTAAATGAGAATTACTTTAATGAGCACTCAAGTGGAAATGTGCTTAATTGTCATGAAAATAATGTCATAACTTAAATTAGGCTTTATTTTCATTATGGAAAATACAAATTCTTCCTGAATTGTGACCTAGACTGTTTTTGTGCGATTTCCCTGCCACCACAATCTCAAGCCGCTGTAAATTTGTTAATTCGGAAAAAATCTCTTCCAGGTGGTATTATTAATAGCTTGCTAAAGGCCTTTTAAAAGTGACTTTATTCTTGATGCTGAAGCTTACGGAGAAGGTTGTTTCTCAAATATCATTTTGATCAAAGAAGGGAAAATATTTTTTCCTTTAAAATCTAAACTAAGATTTTTTGTAAAGCTATTTTTCTTTATTTGCATTTGGTAGCATAGTAAATATTCTATATACTGTCCATTATGTGTAGTAACTTCTTTTTTTTGTACATAGACATGAATTTAGATTTATTCTAAATGTGGAAAATATATACAGTATATTATATATCTATAAATGTATAGTAAGTTCTATATTACATGTAAGAAAGCAAAAGCACTTTGTCTAGACAAAAAGAAAAAAACTAAAACAAAAAAGCGTTCCCCCTCATATTTGCTGCTAAACCGACCTCGTTTGAATGCTGCGGTGTGTACTTGACTTTTGCCATCTTGACCAGGGCAGTGTGACAGAGAGGTCTTGAGTGGAGACAGACATTCGACTCTGACGTCACAATCTTCGTTTGCCTTCAGTAGACATTTCCTATGGAAAAATACAAATTCTGCTTTGGATTTTTCTTCAGGTCGATGTACAGTGTTGACACATTCTCTCTGGCCAGAGATAGGTATTGTTGTCATTGATTTTTTTAAAGTAATTTTTTTACTTACTGGGGGAAATCTGAGTTATTTGAGGAAGTAGCCCAAAAAAAAAAAAAAAAAAAATTATATATAAATATATATCGCTGTACTGTAAGGCAGTTCCATTTGCCATGTGTAATCAATTGGACTTGTTTTTATTTTTATTTTTTGTCTTTAAGAACCCATCCATTCTCAAAAGACAGCAAAGCCATTTGTTATGGCGACAAAGACCGGCCTTTCTTGTGCCATCTACAGCTCAAAGCTACTCGGAGTGGCATTAGCTAAAAATGATAATGATTGTCCTGTAAAATAAGCTTGATGGCAAGTGACAATGAGCATACGGAGATGGAAATGCATGTTGTCCTTCTGTCGACGGCCTGCTGTTTTGAGAGCGTTTGGTAGTTATTGTAGTGTGCACGCTCTCGCATTCAACATGATGTTGTGAGCTGTGCAGTTTAGAGTTTTAACCAGGGGACTCTGTGGCATTCAAACAGTTAAGGAAAAGGTTGCTATTTAAAGCCAGTATTTTATCTTTCTTCTTCTTTTTTTTTTTTTTTTTTTTTTTTTTTTTTTTTTTTTTTTTGCTGATCATGTTTTTATATAAAGAAAGATATTTAAAGAACACATACACATATATAAATACATGCACACATTTGTATATGTGTGTTTGTTTTGCTTCATAGTGTGATTCAATATTAAAGGAACACTCCACTATTTTTAAAACTAGGCTCCTTTTTTGATCTATGCTAAGCTAAGCTAAAAGTGCTACCGCCAGACCCGGAGATCGGCTGAATGGATTCGAAAACGGTAAAACTCAACTGTTTAACTCTAGGGGAGTTGGAAAATGAGCCTATTTTCAAAAATAGTGGAGTGTTCCTTTAACATTTGTAAGAGGCTGTCACATAAGAATTAATTATGGTTATTTTATAATCTTAGGGAAATTATTTCTGCCTTCAAAAACACAGATATATGCATCGAAAACATAAAAAAAAGTAAATATAATCCATTATTTATGTTTCTTGCATAGTCTAACGTTTAGCATCATATTACTTTTTCAAAGGGAAATAATGTAGCTTTCTGTTACGGAACAATTTGTGTGTTCTTTTAGTTTGCTTGTTTTTTTGTTTTTTTTTGTCTTTGAAATCACCCAATAACGTGACATGCTAATCTATCCTGAAAAAAAAGAGTAAGCTAGCTATTACATCCATTCTTTGATTGATTGTTTTTATTGTCTGCATATTGTTGATGATTCAATAATTTTGGACGCAAAGCTGCTAAATCATGTTGTAAAGTTGTTTAGAGAATCAAAGATCATTCCCTGTTACATTCAAGCTATTTATGTTTCTTGCATAGTCTAACGTTTAGCATCATATTACTTTTTCAAAGGGAAATAATGTAGCTTTCTGTTACGGAACAATTTGTGTGTTCTTTTAGTTTGCTTGTTTTTTGGGTTTTTTTTGTCTTTGAAATCACCCAATAACGTGACATGCTAATCTATCCTGAAAAAAAAGAGTAAGCTAGCTATTACATCCATTCTTTGATTGATTGTTTTTATTGTCTGCATATTGTTGATGATTCAATAATTTTGGACGCAAAGCTGCTAAATCATGTTGTTTAGAGAATCAAAGATCATTCCCTGTTACATTCAAGCTACGAGCAATGACTTTTATATTGTAAACAATTATTTATAAAGAGATGGATCTTATGCCACTATCTTTATATCACGGATTCATCAAACATAGTTCGATCTCAATGGATAACTCACTTTGAATTCTTCTAAAATGGCTGCAGTATATACTCAAGAGCATTCAAACAAGCATTTACACCTTTCCTTTTCAATGGTTTGTGTAGATATGTGTTTGCTATATACAAGAAAGAGGTGCACTATGCAGGTTTTACTCTGTAGAAAGACAGGATGTTGCTTTAGTTTACAGCACTTGCTTTTTTTAACAATTGTATCTGATTGATGGGTATTGTAAAAGTGGTTATCGATGGTAAACAACATGGTGACTAAGCTGAGAAATATTTTGCTCAGCGTTTCACAGAAGGCGGCCTGTTTTATTGTTGCTAAATAAACATGCTCTTTCCAATGTATTTAACCTGTTGAATGTTGTAGTTTTGTTTTTGGGTTTTTTTTCGCTTTCCTTTTGTGCTGTTTTTTAATGGACCTTGATTAATCGTTTTACCATTCTGTCCATTTTGTTACTCTGTATCTTGTGTAATCGTTTTGACTTGAGTGTTCTTCAAAAGTAGAATGACCTTCACACTTTTAGATGATAGCGCTTCAAGGTTTAGCAGTAGAACTCAAACATGCATTCCTACATATCAGCTGCTCGTAAATGTTCCATTAACAAATCTGTATGCTACACTTGATCCCTTTAGATATGATATTTGAAACCATGGATATGTTTGCATATACACGGCATGACTATTGTGCATGCTAACCTTGCTAAACTGATATTCATGGAGCTTTTGCAACAGACATCGGGGCAGAAGAACAGTCTCGCTGTCTTTATTCTAACCAATGAGCACAAGTGGGAATAGATGTAAATCATCTCCATCGCACTCCGGCTTTCATCTGAAAAGACCCACATTATTGCACTTGGTTTTACAGAATTTCCAATGTTATTTTTGAAATGATGCCTGCAAAATCAGGTGCCTTATTCAGACATGAAAACCCAAACTCGATCTATTGACATTTTCTACAGAAATGAGATTTTGCCCATTATGCCAAGAATTAAATAACAACTTTCCTCTGAAAATCTATTTTTTTGGTTTTGTTTGTTTTTTTCTCTGCTGTGTCCAGCAGTAAGCTTGCTTCAGATGAGAACTGTTGCTGCTTTGTCCTCATACAGTTTTCATTGAAAGATGAATGTAGTCTTCCTTCAGTGGAGTTCAATATAAACGTAAAAACTGTGTCCCATAGATTTTGGTCGAGAGACTATCCAAAGAGTGCTGCAATCATAAACTCATTTTTTAAATGTTTATATCATCATTATAAATATATATGTAAACCATGTGAGATTTCTTCTGTTTAGGTTCTTGGTTGGAATTGTCTCTGCCTTTGTTTTGACCTTGGTAGAAGCAGGTTAATCCATTTGTACATGATACATTGTAACTTTTAAACGCTCGACGTACGCAGTGATGGATTCCTCCGAAGCCCTCCGAGTGGAAGAAGTTTGCAAAGACAATGGCAAACCTTGTCAACATTGTGTCCCCTCACCAATGCTCAAGATTATTGTGCCTCCCGATTCTTCTGGTTCTACTGTTCCTCAGATCGCCAGCTATGACCTGGAGCACTCACCAACGAACTGAAATGGCCTTCAGCAGTTCTTCTCCAATCAAGATTTTCCACGAACACAAAAACGACACAGAGGTGCGCATTGCTCGGCCTGGGATGGAATTCAGTCGTGGAGGGCGGGAAGTCTCGGTGGACCGGCGAACTGCTGGCAGATGTCCCTGTTCACACGGTCGGGATGCTTTCCTTGCACTCAGTCACTCCCTCAGAGAAAAGTTGAGTCTTCTTTTGGTGGTTGCCGCTGCATGGCTCCCTTCATGTCAATGGGGTGGGTGGGCGGGGGAGAAGCTCTTTGTTTTATTGGGTTCAAAGAAACTTGGACATTGGGTAGGAGTCCTGTCTCGCCACCCATGGTGCTGAATTTCAAAATATGTACTTGAACACCCTCAGAGCTGTGACTTGGCATGCGCTGTCAAGTCCGTGAACTCTTCTCCTTCCCCGATCTTACAGTTCCGAAATAAAGTTGCTCTTATGACATTTGCTCAAGCCACTGCAACACCTGTGCCAAGACCTGACCCCAAACCGGGTGCTCATATTGGACTTGGAACGAACCAGTGGTCGGGTGGGAAAAGGGCCGTGTTAATGTAGTGGTGATAGCCCATTTTAATTGTCCGTTTACTTGTTTGTTTATATCTTTTTCTGTTGAGGAAGACATGGAGAGCTAGTAGGGTCACTTGTGGCGCTTTTCCACTGCGTGGTACGACTCGGCTCGGCTCAGTACGCTATGGCACGGAACGGCTCGGCTCAGTTTGCATTTCCACTGCAGTTCAGTACCGCTTTAGAGTGGGCGGGATTATTCATGTGTCATTTATAGTTGCGCCGCCTCTACTGCCTCGCCCCATCAAGCTCTCGCTGGATCCGCTTCTCTGCTATCAACGAGAGGAACGTCTGTATTTCCTCAACAGACAGCGAAACAGCCACTTTTTGGTTTGGTTTTTGGTAAAAAAGGTGCGCTCGTTCAAAACAGTTGCATTTCGATCCTTCGCTGGCTGTGCTGATTTAAATCTAGTGGTTCTTTTGTGTTTGTGTCGCAAGTTTAGTGACGATTCTCTCCGACCAATCCATGATCAGCAGAGTTTACACGTCACATTTTGGTAACGGTACGGTTCACTTGGAACCTCAACCGAGGTGGTACTAAAAAAAGTACCAGGTACTGTACCCAGTGGAAAACCCCCCAAAAGTGAACCGTACCGAGCCGTACCATGCAGTGGAAAAGCGCCATTGGACTGTTGGGCCCAGATCCCTTGCACTGAAGTGCACCGGACACACTCGAATCACTACGCTAAAACCAACGTTACCAAAAAGGTCGTCAAGGAAAGCTCGCACCTGTCCGATCGCATACTTTTCTACACTGCAGTGATTTACATTCCCTTCCGACCTTTGCCAAATTTGCATCGAGCGACTAAATTGACCTTCAACATTGGAAGCGGGTTTGCGAAAACATAACCAGGGCCACCAAAACCCTTTCGTTTTGATTTTATTTTGTTTCTTTAGTTTCGAAAATCCATACAACGTTCAATTTAAAAGGATTGACGCGAAATGTCAATCTAAAAAAAAACAAACAAAAAAATATATATACACAATACGTGACATTGTGCTTCTAATGTTGTATGGTATTCTACTTGATAATTTAGCATGGGATCCTTAAGTAGCTAGTACTGTGTGTGAACTCCCAAAGTGTAAAATCTTTCTCCTTTTTTAAATTTTTTTATTTCGTTTGTTCTAGTCACAGTAGGAAGGCTGTATTTCATTGCTAAGTGCTCTGTCATAGATCTCTTGGTGATATTCTTAAGCAAAACTCTGCAGAAGTGTATCCTACTGAAACTAACAGTTACTTGATCCTATTAGCAATGTCTATATTTGTAGTTCACATATATGCCTGTTCAAATACAATATCTTGACAGTTGTT